TGGTGACAGGGCCCTTCGTGGGCAGGAGCCGCTCCGTCCACCCAATATGACACAATGGCAAGTCCCACCTCCCCCTGAAAGTGATAATGCACATTTTCCACCGAAAAGGCCACTCTTGGGTATGGTTCAGAAAAATGTACCCTGTGGGCCGATCACAAACACTGCAATAGGGCGGACTTTCCAGATACCTCGCCTGCATGGAGATGAGCTAATAGCCACTCTGCGCTTTCCCCTCTCCCACCCCTCCGGCGTGCTGTCCACTCTCATTTTTCAGAAACATGAATGTTTTCACTGAACAACAACAAAAAAACCCCAAAAGACCAAAACAAAAACGAAAAAACCCACTTCCTATTGCTGTTCCTGCAGGAACCTGCCACCTGCTCAAGTGCTGACGTTCTCTCCTCTTGGTCTCCGACCACACGGCTTCCTATGTCAAGGGCATGTCCGCATCCCTGCCCACTGCTGACATTGTGTGTGTTTCTCACGCCCTGTGCCATACTATCTCCTTCTTAATGGAGAGAATACACTTCTCTGGTGTTCAGGAACACCCCCCACCCAACTTGAGTTTTGGGGGCAACAGCAGGTGCCATGGGGCCAGCCCAGTTCCACCCCGCCTCTCTGGGGGTCCTCAGGTGAGTCTTGCTCTTTCTCTCATCCCTGAAGGCCACCCACTGCCTTGCTTCCAACTTCACGAGTCTAGAACACATCCCTCTCACTCTCTAGGGCCACCTCTTGCTCCAAGCCCCCAGCCTCCCACTCCCCCGGCATCCTGGACACGTCCCCTCCCGGGCACGCCTCTCCGACCAGACCAGCCGAGGGGAGGTGCCCATGCCTTGGCCCCCTGCAGCTCCCAAGCACTGCCTTCCCTGATCACTCGGCTGCCCCAGTTACTAGATCTGGCCGCCCCACTCCTGGGGTCACCTGGTAACGTTTGACTGCCGATAGACATTTCCATCTCTAACCAGACCTTAGCTTTTTTTTTTTTTAATTGTCTTTCCCCTAAAAGTGTGATCTGTGGAGAAGAATAATTCCAGGTACCCTTTTCCAGAGAACCGGAAGGCAGGAAGCTGATGGGACCAGAACTGAGATCAGGAGGAGTGGCCCCAGACCCCGTGCTCAGCCTATCAGATGGACACTCTTGATCTAGGAAGGGACAAAAGGAGAGCTTGAGGTGGTTCCAGCTCGGCCACCAGGAGGTGGGAAGGTGGGAAGATGGCTTTGGCCAGACGGTCATCCTGTGTCCTGGTGCCCTCTGGGTCCTGCCCATTCCCCAGTCTGGCCCCTGGCTGTCAACCAGTCCTGTGTGTTCCTGTCCCCAACGCCCTTCCAACATGGTTCTTTTAAACTCGGCCAGAATTGGGTCACTTGCTTGCTACCAAGCACCCCGACGGGCCCATCAAGTGTCACGGGTACACGGGACTAGTGCTTCCCGACCTCCAGTCCTCCAAGGAGCTGTTTGCACGGCCATGCCTCCACGCCCTGCCCTGCTCCTGAAGCCTAGAAGCTCCAGTCTGTAGATCTGTATGAACACCCTGGGCCAAAGGACAGTCAGAGGATCCCTTGGGCCCCAATATCCTGTAAGGCCATGGTCATGATAAAGTGCGTAAGATAAAAGGCTGAACCACACACTTCTGAGGCAATTATTTCCAGCCTTAGCCCTGCCATGTTGACGACTTAAGAGAATTAATTAATAACATCACTCCTCCCTTCAGAATTGCAAACCCATTGAGAAAAAAGACAGGCTTCAGCTAAGTATCGAAGTTACCAGATTTTTTTGCAGGTTGAGCTGGATCAGAGGCTGGGTCCCTCAACACCACGGACCTGCAGTCAGCACCACGGGAGGACCAGCTCCAAGAAGTGACGAGCAAGGCCCCGGACCCACCACCACTGTCTCTTCTCAGAGAGCAGGTAACCCCCAAAACCGGCACGTGGCACCATGTCCGAACCAAGCAGAGGTCTATGGATCTTAGGAGGCCCCGGGGTCCTCTCTCCTTGGGAACAGGGTGTCCCTGGGCCTTCCTGTGGGCTGGGGCAAAGTTGCTCCAGACGAGCTACAAACAGCGAGCCTACAAACGCGTGGCTGTAATTCACCGGAGCGTGTGCTGGGCACTGCTCACTCGCCTGCTTCACGTCCTCACTACCAGAAGGGCTCCAGAATTCGAGTCACGAATATCATCTTGATACGCAAGAGGCTTGGGGAGAGTCCCCATCGCTCAGCAAGGGTGCCCAGGCCGGCCTGACCCCACATCCTGAGCACGAAGCCACAGGGCCTCAGCAGAGAAGAGTGAGCCTTCTCTGGGAACACACACCCTGCCATGTGGGGGGCCGAAAGGCCAAGGCCCAGGAGAGGACAGAAGAGCTCTTTCTTTAGTAGGAAATGCCCTTCCAATGGGACAGTTCAAAAAAGGGGACTCCGGGTAGTCCCCAGGCCGGGGCGGCACCACACAAAAGGGACCACCATTCCTCTGACAAGCCAGGCTTCTTCATTTTGAGAGACTGCTTTTTCTGGCCACTTCTGTATCTATTCTCTCCTTTTCTCTTAAAATTCAATTAAACCTCTTCTTGCTAATCAGGGTCCCTGCTTTTCAGGAGGCTACTGGAACCGGGGATTCACCGCACACTTGGGGGGCAGGCAGTCAGGAAGTCTGCTGCCCTACCTTCTGAGCAACAAATAGTTTTGTTCCAAACTAGGCAACTATAGATAGAAAATGCTATTTTTAGGCAGAGGAAATAACAGCAAAAAATAAGACCCCAAGGGACCAAACCACTTGTGGGCCAACTCGCCCTGTGACAGGCCCCTCACCTGATGGGCCGGCCGGGTGGTCCCCCTGAGTGCAGCGCTGGGGAGGGGGCAGGCCAGGCCCCGGGTCGGACACGGGCACTGGGGCACACCGGGGGCTGGGAAAGTCTGGTGGGCAGGGACACAGCGCCAGACAGGCTGTATAAGGGGTCACATCTCAGCCTGCGACCTTCCCATCAACTGCCTGGGAAAAGGACTCTGGACACTCCGGGGCGTGCAAGAAAGACGGGAACGGACAACGATGCCGCTTCCAAAGTCTGGCCGGTCAGGGGCACTGGAAGAGCAGGGAGGGAGGGGGCGGTCTTTCACGTGGCCAGTACGTTCGATAAGTAATTCCCTGTATCTGTGCAGCAGGGCACCGTGTACCCCGCTTCCACCCCCTCGTGATCTCATCAGAGCCTCGTGAACAACCACCGGCGAGCCGGATACAGCAGGGTCTGGGCACTTCCATAGAGGACACCAGGGGTCACGGAGCTTAAGGGCTTACCCAAGAAGCCAGGGCCAGCGAGGGACGGAGTGCAGACTGGCAATCTGAGGGCTGGCCTTTAGTTTTTGGTAGGGAGACAAAAGGACTTGAGCATTCATTCAAAAGAAAAAGTTTTGCTTAGATACGCAACTATGTCTTAAGAATTACTTCAAAATAATATGGGTTAAGTAGGTAGGAGATGTGTAGATAAAACAAGATTAGTTATGAGTTGCCATTTTAGCTGAGCGATGGGCTTCACTGTATTAGTCTACTTTTCTGTTTGACTTTTCCCTTTTAAGGGTAAAAAAAAAAGTATCTCAAGCCTCACCAACAATGTGACCTGATGCCTTCACCCTCAGGTTTCTGAATCCAAAAAGAGAAAAATGGCAGTGCCCCGTGCCAAGATAGATGAGCTCAGGCCTCTGATGGTACAGAGGGGGCCGGGGGGGATGGACAGTCTTTGAATAACGGACTGTTCTTAAATCTGTTGCTTAGAGAGCTGTTTCCAAGTACACAGAGTTGTTCTTTGTTTTTTGTTTTTAATCTAACTTCAGTTAGAAAGTCTGCCCTTTGACCCACCGGCCAGGCCCCTCACCAGAGCTCTGTGGGTCAGTGCTCCGGTCGGCAACTGAACGGTGCTGCCTCTTTGTCACGAAGGTGCTGGGGCAGGCGGCCTCCTGAATTACAATGTGAGTCATCAGAAACCTGAGCCACTTTCAGCAGAACTTGGCTGTTGATGCTATTAATTGCATTTCACTTCATCTCAGCCTTTGAACACAGGTGGGCCATCTACCGTTGAGACCAGAGGCGGCCTCCACTCCCACCACCCCGGGAACCTCAGGAGCAGATGAAGGGGCTCTGCGGGGACTGACCGCCCACCCGCTAAAAGCAAACTGGCTCGGCTCTATCCCTGGTGCATAAGCTTCCTCCTCCCCGGGTTTCAGCTGAGCCCAGCTTGTTGGTCCTGACAGAATCGGATGCCCACAGAGGCCAGGCAGAAGCCCAGATGGGGATAAGAGCGGATGCGGTGGGTGATGTGGAGGACACACATCCCACCAAGAGCAGTGGGACTACTCTCCTTCAGCCACATGCCCAATCTTCGGATTTTTATGAGAAATCTCCCGGTTGGTTTGTTTTTTAACGTGGTCATTAGTTTTTAAAACACGATAGGGCAAACAAACTGTGCCCGTCAGCTAGATACCATTGACTATCCCTGGTTTTCAAATTCTGATATGGGCTGGGACCCTGCCATAAAGAGACACAATGACTAATGGGGCCACTCTGTTCTCTGACCCACCAGATAAGAGGCTATGGGCTGAGCTGTGAATAATTCAAAGGAACAAACTGTGTCACACTCATTCTTCTGAGAGACTGAGTACAGACATACCTCAGAGATAACACGGGCTTCATTCCAAACCACCACAATCAAGCAGCATCACAGTAAAGCCAGTCAAGTGAATTTTCTGGCTTCCCAGTGCATATAAAAGTTACACTTACGCCACACTGTCATCTACTAAATATGCAATGGCACTATGTCTAAAACAAAATGCACGGCCCTTCATTTAAAAATACATGATTGCTAAAGATGCTGAGCATCACGAGTTGTCAGTGAGCTGTAATCAACAGGATCCCAGATCACTGTAACAAATATAATGAAAACATTTGAAATATTGCCAAGAATGACCAGAATGTGACACAGAGACAGGCTGTTGGAAAAAAGGCACCAACAGACTTGCTTGATGCGGGATTGCCACAAAACTTTGATTTGTTAAAAAAAAAAAAAAAAAGCAACATGTAGAAAGAGCATTAAGCAAAGTGCAAGAAAAAGAAGTATACAGACCAGGAACAGACCACAAATAAGAAAAGGACTCTGACCCACCATCTGCAGCCACCAGCCCAGAGAAGCAACCCCTCATCTACAGTAACCAGCCCTGGGAGCCAGCCCGCCACCTAGAAGCCAGCCTTCTGGAAAGTCAGACCACTACCTCTAGCAACCGGTCCCGGAAGCCCGACGATAACCCGTGTGGTAATTGCTGCATGATGACCAGGACCTGCTTTGTAACTGACGGCTTCCCTAGCTTTTGGTTCCTTCTTCCAACTTAGGAGCAACCACAGAAAGCTGAATATGCTCCCAGGAGATGCCCTGCTTCGAGGTAACCGGCCCCCAGCCTCCAGTCAGGGCACACCCAACACCTGCCAGTGGGTCTCTGCCAAAACACCAGTGAGGGGCCTGCCTCCCTTGCCACAGCAAGCTTTGAACAAGCAGCGTCTGCCTATCCCCATTTGGGTGGTCTCTGTTTAGGTCCACATGCAAGACTCAGCTCAGTGCCCCGCTCCCAGGAGGCATGAAGGAGGCGGCAGAATGGTGTGTGCAGGCCCAGGGTGCTGCGAGGGTGGGGGACTCTGGCCAATTTCTCCAATTCTCCTCATCCCTGGAGTGTGGACCAGCTTCCCACAGTCTTCTGGGAGACCCATCGTAGCCCTCTACCCCTGTCCCCCATACACAGCCAGAACAGGGCCAGGTCCTGGCACCCCCTCTCCGCACAGCCACTGGGGGCTCCATCACCCTTAGCCACACTCCTTTGTGATCCCGGCGTGCACCCCCTTGCTCCACACTCCCATCACGTGGGCCTCCTGCCTGCCCACAAGGCCCCTCCCCAGCTCAACATCCACACTTGTGACTTCCTTCCATTAGGACATAGGGACCACACTTTCTGGATTTGGGGAGAAAATGCCAGCACCAGAAATTCAGCCCTATGGTCTAGATCATCCTATGTATCAGCACTATGAATCTTCTGATAGTCACTACCCCCACACCCCATCCCCAGGATGTGGGGTCAGATGACACAGGAAGGGTCACACAAGAAGGAAGGGGCAGCGAGTAGCACGTACTGAACATGACCCAGGAAGCACTCTGTATCAGGCACATAACAGAATTTTCCCTGTTTAACCCTCGTGACTTTTCCATGAGGTAGGTAAGATTTCTTTTCGAAAACAGAAAGCTGAGACTCAGAAACTAAAAGAACTTCTCTAAGTCCCTGACTGGGACCTCTGTCCTCCCCGGCCCTCCACTGGCCACACAGAACCTCCCTCGTGTTTGGGAACCAGTACAAAATGCAATCCAAAACCAATGATGTCCACACTTAGAAGAGTGTGGAGCACCCAGAGCTCCTGGCTCAGGAAATCTGTGCTGGCCACCGGGGTCCGTCCCACCCTGGGGGCTGTGCAGCACACTGTTGAGAGCAGGCTGGGATCTGGACCCCTCGAGTCCTTCAGAAGCCAGGGGCGTGAAAGCAACATTCGCTTCCTCGTGGTTACGGAGCTTGCCAAGCCCAGAGAGTCCTGTGGAAGCACAAAACAGCCACCTGTTGTGAAATTCTGTATGTTCAGAAATCCACCCAGTTACATTATAGAGATGACTTCATGTTAGTTTTCTGCCACTTCAGTTACGATCACATCCCTAATCCCCCTTGATTAACTGGGAAGGCAGGCAGGCTTGGACGGTGGCAAGCTTATTAACTGTTCCTCACAGCCAAAGGGGACAAATGTGCAATGAAATCATTAAAAACAGGGGGAAAATTGCTTGGGAGCCAGCTTCGAGTGATCACAGAGTCCTCCCTGGAAAGAGAAGACGCTTACAAATACGACCACACACAGGATGGAACACTACGCCAGTGTCAACCACATCACGGTGACTCACCGGTAGCGCGCGCCACCTAATGATATGCCGGGGTCCTGACAGGGCACCTACACAGCGGGGCAGAAGGAGGACAAAACAGGACAAAAACAGAGCCACGGGGAAGGCAGGTAGAAGGTTTGACAGACACGGAAAATACCTGTCAAACCCCAGTGTTCCTCTCCTACTGTGCTCACCAGTCTATTTTTGGTACATGCATTTCGGTTAACTGTTTTTTTTGCTTGAACACCGTCTTATTTATTCTGCTCCCTGAAATCATGTCAGATCTTCATTTGTTTTATTTATTTTTATTTTTTTAAAGATTTTATTTATTTATTTGACAGAGAGATAGATAGAGAACACAAGTAGGTAGAGCAGCAGGCAGAGGGAGAAGAAGGCTTCCCGATGAGCAGGGAGCCCGATGCAGGGCTCGATCCCAGGACCCTGGGATCATGACCTGAGCCGAAGGCAGACGCTTAACCAACTGAGCCACCCAGGCGCCCCTCTTCATTTGTTTTAAACTAAAATTTGAGATAGTTTATCCAGTTTGTCCTTAGGACCGCAGATAATTGAAAAACCCGCTAAAATGAACACGTAACAAGCATCATGAATTACAAAATGCGAGTGCGGGGCGTCTAGAACAGTACCTCACAGCAAGCTGGAAACCACAACAAAATAAATGAAGTCAGGGAAGAAACCCCACTGGATGCTAAATCTAGCAGGTACAAGTGGGATATTTACTTTGTCTCAAAGAACCACCCTGCAAAATACTTCTTACTCACACAGGAAGGAGTAACTTTACAGCGCAGACATCGTCTTCACCAACATCGTTATACCACCAGATAGGAGGCAGAGAAAGCACTGCTTCTGCATCACTTCTGCAACAGTAAAAAGCATAACCAGAGCCGAATGGGGAGGAGGCACAGACCAGCCCGAACTGAGGGGCAGCCTGCCAACAGCAGTAGCCACCGGGCGCGGGTGGCTTGGCGCTCGCAATGTGGCTTGTCCAAATTCAGGTATGTCCCAAGTGCAAAACACAGTCTGGATTTCGAAGATGTGATATTAGAAAATGGAAAAGATCTCATGAATCATTTTTTACATTCGTTACAGGTTGAAAATGATGGTATTTGGGATATTAATTACACGTGTTTCCTTCTACCTCTTTTTAACGTGGCCCCCAGAAAACTTTAATTACCTCTGTGGCTCGCGTCAAATCTCTAGCAGCTCTGTTCTACTCAATAATTAACCTGTAATCTTCAAAAATGTCAAGGTCATACAAGTCAAGGAAAAGGCTGAGGAATGATTCCCAATTGAAGGCACCTAAAGAAACGTACGTTAACAACTAAATGCGACATGTACCCCTGCGGTGGATCTCTTGACTAAAGGAGACAGTGTTGAGACAACTGGAGAACTCCAGTGGGGTCTGCGGATGAGAGGGCAGTGATACAGCAGTGTTAATCAGTCCTGATGTGAACGGTTATCCCATGACGATTTAGGAGGATGTCTTTGCTAGAAGGACACATTCCCTAAAGAATTTAGCAGTGATGGAACTTCAAATTGGAAACTCTCAAATGATCCAGGGGGAAAATACTTCCTTGTACTATCCTTACAGCTATCCTGTGAGTTTGGAATTATTTCAAAATAAAAAATAAGTTTAAAAGGCTCCCCAAAGAGCTTCAGGCAAGGAAGGCCCTCAGCGAATGTGCCGCTGATTCGAAAGGTCGCATTTGGCAGCGGTGGGGCCGGAGCTGACGTGAGAAGCAGCTGGGTGCTGGGAGGCTGGACCTGGTGATTCCCTAAAAACCCAACCTGTTCAACCGAAAAACAAAAGACCAGACCCAAGAACATTTTAACGAGGGCTGGAAATCAGAATCATTGCCATGCAACTTGTGGGCTATGGCAAACTTCTGCTTCTGCTCAGTAACGCCACAGGAGAGACGAAATACCAAGAGTCAGGCTCTGGTTTGGGGCGCCCTCAACCCCATGCCGGGCAACACCATTTCATGACAAAAGGGCCTTGCACCACTTGTGAAGGTTTCAGAATTCAGGCTTCTATGTTTGTCCTGTTTTCTGGGAAACTGAACCAAAGAAACTTTCCATGGCTACCTGACTACCACATAACTACTTCCCAACTCTCTTGTGAATCAGACTTCGAGGAAGGTGCTCCTCCAGGTAAACCCTGGATACAGGACGGAAAGGATCTATTTCCTGGATGCTACATCTGTTTTCTTAGAGGCCCAAACAGGACCAAGAGAACAAGCTCTATTGCGTGAACCTGATTATCCCCTACATTTAGCTTACAAAGTTTTAACACATTTATTTCTAAGTATTTCGTATTTTTGATGCTATTATGAACAGTGCTTTTTAAAATTTCAATTTCTGATGATTCACTGTGAGCATACAGAAATACAATGGATTTCTGGAAATTGATCTTGTATCCTGCCACTTTACTAAACCCACTTACTAGTTCTAGTAGCTTTCTGAAGATCCATCAGATTTTCTACATAGATGATCATGTCTTTCAATAGACAGTTCTACTTTTTCCTTTCTAACCTGAATGTCTTTTATTTTTTTTCTTGCCTAAGTGTACTGGCTAGAACAGAAATGATTAGAATGGACATTCTTGTCTTGCTCCTGATATTAGGGTAAAGTATTCAGTCTTCACAGTGAAGTATGCTAGCTGTAGGTTTTACACAGACCCTCTCTATTGGGTTAAAGAATCTCCCTTCTTTTGTTACTTTGCTGAGGGATTTTAATGAGAATAGATGTAGTTGTTGAGTCCTCTCTCCTGCTCTAAGCCCCAAGGCCCTGTAAATCTGCTTCTCCCCTTGATCCTTAGGATCTCTACTTCCCTGTATGAAATTTCTGCTGCACCATGCCAGGATAGATATCAGATTTTGTCAAATGCTTTTTGTGCACTACTGAGATGACCATATGGGTTTTTCTTTTTTAGTTAATATGGTAAACTACATGGATTGATTTTCAAATATTAAACCAACCCTGCATTCTTGGTCTAAACCCCACTTTGGTCATATTATATCATCCTTTCCATATATTGCTGGATTTCATTTGCTAAAATTGTGTTTAGAATTTTAGCATCTATATTCATGAAGGATCTGAGCCTTTAGATTTCTCTCCTTGCAATGTCCTTGTCTGGTTTTGGTATCAGGATAATGCAAGCCCCAAAGAACGAGTTGGGAAGTGTTCTCTCTTTTCAGTTTTCTGGAGGAGAGTGGGTAGAAATGGCAGCACTTCTTCCTTCAACGCTTGGTAGAACTCCCCAGCAAAGCCACTGCGTACTGCACTGGGTACTGTCCTCCACCCTGTGAACATCGGGCACTGATCTCTCTTAATCCTTTCAACTGCATCTTTGCCTGGCCTCGGGCAGCTCCTTGTGTATCTGCTCTTCGCTGGACCCCTGCCAGGGAGTAGGGGGAGGCAGCCGACTCCACCTCTCCGAGCACCTCTTCTCCTGCTCTGATCTGCAAACGCTTCTGTCTCCTTGAGCTCTCATCCCCCATCCCCTCAGCTCAGACAGTCTGTTTTTAGCTCTGCCTGGGATTCCCCTGTGCCATGGCCTGAAAACCCTCAGGGCAGTGAGCTGAGGCCATTGTAGTGCTCGTTCTGTTTTTGCCTGTGGTATAAAAAACATATTTGGAAAAAAAAAAAAAAGATACTTGGTTGTCATTCCTGGTTCCTGGCACAGAACTCCTAAAACCCTTGGAATTTCCTGAGTGACAAGGGTGACAGAAGTGTCTCGTTCTAATGCGGCAACTCTTGGTAGGTCCCTAAAGAACTTCAGGATTGGGGGTTGGTGGCCAGAAAAAACAAGCCTTGATTAAAAGCTTGGAACTTTCAGCCCCATCCCCAGCTCTGGGAAGGACAGGGGGACTACATACAGAGTTAATCACCCATGGCCAATGATTTAATCAATCATGCATGTGTAATGAAAGCTCCAAAAAGCCCCCAAATGATGGCATTCGGGGATCCACTGCGATGATGAACACATCAAGGTACTGGGAGGATGGAGCACCCAGAAAGGGTGCCACCCCCGCCTATGCATCTCTCCCCTTTGGCTGTTCCTGAGCTGTATCCTTCATAATAGACCAGCAATGTAAGTCAAGGGTTTTCCTGAGTTCTGTGAGCCATTCTAGCAAATTACTGAACCTGAGGGGCAGGCCAGAAAATGTGATGTATAGCTGGTCAGTCGGAAGTACTAGAGGCTCAGACTTGAGACTGGCATCTGAAGTGGGGGCAGCCTGGTGGAGCTGAGCCCCTTTAACTGTGGGATCTGACACTAACTCCAGGTAAACAGTGTCAGAACTGAGCTGAATTACTGGACATCCACTGAGCGTCCAGGGAACTGGAGAGGAAGTACTAGAAAAGACAACAGTGGGGGGAAAAACTTTCACTGCATGTCCCTCAAGGAGTCACTGTCCTTCACTGACTAATGTCCACTGTTTCATCTCTTTTTAATTGTTTCAGACAGTAAGGTAGATTGGTCCCTGTTACTCAGTCTTGGTCAAAAGTGGAAATCCTCAAATGCAAGTCTCCTTAATCATCACTCCCCTGGCTTCCTGTACCTACTTCCATCAAGGGGAGGCTTATACTGGAATCATAGGATTCTGGGGCTGCATGATTCAGGAAACCCAAGGCGAAGCAAAAGCTTTGTCTCAGTGTCACCAGTCCCCAGCACAGGGGCCTGGCCCCCATGGCGCCCCCAAGAGGTGCCGGATGACCACACGCACGTTCACACGCTCCAGCTCACAACCTCAGGTGCCCTCCGAGAGCCCACAGGCCCTCAGTGCCACTCAGAGAGCCCAGGCCCATGGCTTTATGCCGACGCATCACAACAAAACCTCAACTCTCACTAGCCCAGAGAACTGGGGAATTTGCTTCCAGTTTCATGATGGTAAGAAGAGTTGGAATCAGAGCCCAGAATAGGAAGTGTGTTTGATAAGCTGGACAAAAAGCCATGGGAAATTGCAATCAGAATAACCCACAGATTCAATTACTCCTCTGTTTCATAATTATCTTAGAAGCTGAATACGTTTCCAGTTGGTAAAAGGGGACTTTCCTGGGTATCTCTTCCAAAGACAGATTAATAATGTTGGGTCTTGTAAGTATTTACTTAATTTGCAATCGTTTCTTTCCATCACTTCTCGTTTTAAAGTCTCTAAAATAACAATAATGTTTAAGGCTTTTTTTTTTTTTTTAAATGAAGGGTAGGGGAAAACAAACTCCAGCTCTATCCTGATTACCCTAGCCATAACTGTATCTTGATATCTTAATGCACAGATACGGCACATAAAGTGTGAAGAATAAATTTATTCCTAGATGTATTCTACAGGACTTTCCTAAATTAGGTCATAACAACTTTAAAGGTCAAACAAAGGCAAAAGCACTTTCATTCTTAGTACTAAGGCACCATGTGGCTCCCTGCAGTGAGCTACGAAACTTCCCCATTAGCATTAAAGCCCACATTTAGGACTTACATGAGAAACTGAAGGGGGGGAGGAATGAACTGTCATGTAGATGAAAGACTAAGAAAAACATTCTTAGGCCCTTCACTGGAGCATTCCGAGGGGGAGGCTGAAAACCCTGTTGTGCTTTTTAAGGAATAAGGGCAGATAGCTTGGCAGGTGTAATACGCCTTTCCCATAAAGGAGGCCCTTACCAAAGACCCACCCACCCCAGTGCACGCAAGTAGAGCAGTTATGTTTTCACCAGAAGGACGGTTTTCTAGCACAGCACTAATTATATCCCTTTCCTGTTTCAAGCCCTTCCAGATGTCCGCACTGTCCCCAGAATTAAGCACAAAAGAAACCCCATTACTCTGGTGTACATACGGTGAGTTCTTCCTGATCTGTAAACCCACACACCAAAAGGATACATCTGTTCCCACATATCATATGTTCCTATCTGGGGTTTCCCAAAGTATGTCAGGGGTAGGTCAACGAAGTTTGGATACACGGGATGAAACAAGGTTCAAGAGGTTTCCTTACTGTAGGATTCCCACAAGCATTTCATTTAGCGCCCCCCAGCAAGCTCCCGGCATTTTACGTGGGATACCTCAAGGGGCCGGTCCCTCCCAACCTGCCTCCGCCCTAGCACACACCCTCTCGTCTCCCTTCTGCACATCATGGAAGAGTATCTGTCTCTGCACCCGCCATCTCGCCCGTGCCGCTCCCACCCACCCTTCAGCTCTCTCCGATGTGGCTTCTGCCTCCGCCATGCGGCAGACGGCACCCCCCACATGCGGCCCCTCTTCTCACGGGCCTTCACCTGTAAACCTGGCGCCCCACGCACACCTGTCCTCACTCATCCTGGCTGGCTCACCCCTATGTGCTTTCCCCTCTTCTCTTGAAAACTGAAAACACAGAAAGACAAAAGCACAGAATATAAACAAACACCCGTATTCCCATTCATCAGAAGTGACGATCATCAGACTACACCGCGAATGCCTTGTTCGCTTCAAGTCTTTTCTTTAATAAAAGAACAAAATACGATAAAGATGACAGTGTCCTCTGATTTCTCGCAAGCACCTCACAAGTGTCTTACATATCCTTCTGGTCCACTCTTATTTTTTTTACATGCAGATGTTTATATTCATGAACAATACAAATCGTTAAGTTGGGGCACCTGGGTGGCTCAGTCAGTTAAGCGTCTGCCTTCGGCTCAGATCATGATCACAGGGTCCTGGGATCGAGCCCCGCGTCAGGCTCCCTGCTTCGCGGGGAGTCTGCTTCTCCCTCTCCCTCTGCCCCTCCCGTGGTTCATCATGTGCTCGCTCGCTCTCTCTCAAATAAATAAATCTTTAAAAAACATTGTTAAGTTTTACAAAAAGCTTAACACAGTGACATCATACAGTAAGTATAATTTATCCACTTTCTTTGTCACTCAACAGGATCTACCCATACTGACACTCAGCTCAACCCAAGCTACCAATATCAGTTTTACTGCCCTGCCAGCATTGATCCTGTTGCTTGTGTGCGGCCTCCCCCACTGCCAGCTCGGCCGGGCCCAGTCTCTGAATGCTTCGTGTGTCTTATCTTACCTCCTGTCTCAGCAACCACTGAGAAGATGCTCCAAATGCGCACGGCAGGCCCACAGCGGCACTATCTCTGGGTCTGGCCGAGTCCCAGGCTACGCTCTGACCCACGGTGCTCAGCCACCCTCTTACCATCGACTGCCAAATGAGCACCTTCCGAGGGGCCAGGCACTTTGTACGCATCTTGTCTCTTAATCCTCTGAACCCCCCTGTGGTGTCAAGGACGATGAACTGTCCTCATCAGACAGATAAAGAAACTCGGGCTGGAGAAGATGCTGGAGCCTTGGTGTGAGCCCCAACTAGATGGCTTCAAAGTCCAAATTCCTATCGCTGGGCTAAATGTCAGATTTACGTAAAAAAATAAAAAGTATAAATAAAAGTCAAAGATGAGATGAGAAACGGGCTGGCGCGAGACTGTGTGAGAGACCCGGTGAGGTGTACTGCTTGGCCAGCTCCATGGTTTTATACCCGTGTCTCTAGTCCCCGAACACATGGTTCCGGGGCATCCTGGGGCCCGGGAGACAATACTCACGGTCATGGACCCGATAGCAGTGCTTCTGCAGGCGCTGAACGTCCCACTCCTCCAGCACTCCGTGAGTCATCAACAACTGGAGGAATCGCCGGTGGACGTCAGTCATGACACCTGCCCTTCCAGTACCACCCTGCGGGTGTGAAGGAGCTAAGAAAAGAAGCAAAGGAAACCCAGTCACCTCCGGGCTCCCGGAAAGCCAAGTTCTGCGTTGTGTACTAACTGACATTCACGAGTAGACATTTGTTGTAGTTCTCAAACTCAAGTGCATCCTGCTGAATGTCTCTAAATGAAAAGGACACGGGTCTGGGGCAAGCGAACGAGTACCAGCAGGTGGGGAGAAGCGTGGGTTCTGGAGCCAGCCAGAGTGCCTGGACCCAGCCTGCTCTACCACCTAAGTGGGTGAAATGGGGCAACCAAACCTCCGTGTGCTTCAGTCTCTATCTATGAGACTAACGATAGCAACGGCCTCCATGGAATTACTCCATTCAGTGAGTTAATACACAATAAAAGCCGGGTAACAGGCTGAACACTACGTAAGCGTTAGCTCTATTTACTCCTAGACAATTCTGGGTCTGAAACTTGGTTCAGCCACTTAGCGGATCTGTGGCCTTGGATAAAGTCAGCTGAGGCCCCATTTTCTCACGCTCAACCTAGAAAAGCATTCACCGCCTAAAGAACTGCTAGTAAGCGCTTACCCAGTACTAGTTTCCTTCTCATTTCCCAAACCACTAATGAAACAACTGTCACTGTGGGGTGCTTTTTCAATCTCTTGCTCTCTACTAAAACGTTATCTTTCCACAAACCACAGAGATCAGAGCTGATGAAAGCATTACACAAGTCCCGATCAAACAGCCTGCTCTCGCCACGGAGAGGTGGCACGGTGCGGAGACAAAGAGCGTGGCTTTAGAAATCGGCAGGTGGTGTTGAGAAGAGTGTTTGCCAGACCCACTTGATCTTGAGAATCATCGAACCTGCGCATGAAAAATACAGATTCCTGGGCCCCGTTCCTGGAGGTTCGGACCGCCGAGGGGCCTGGAATTCTGAGGGTTTAACATTCACTTCAGGCAACGCCATGATCTGACAAGAAATTTGCTGTTCCCTTAGGCAAATACAGCACAAAAACATTTCAGCTAAGGAGCTTCATTTCCCTCGACCTCAGTCTTTTCAGCTATAAAATGGGGATAACAAAAAACTATCTTTAAGACAGAAGATGCCATTTAAATGAGATATGACTACCAGAGGTTTGCCAAGGAGCTGGCATGTAGGAGAGACACAAAAAGGTTAGTTGCTGCTCAGTTTTTTTTAAACAGCACATCAACTGGACCTCAGGGGTGGAAAGATGCAGGAGCTCAGGACCAGTTTCTCAGACTGCCTGCTAGGTATCCTCAAGAACAGCTCAGCGATAACTCAACCTCAACAGGTCCTAAGTTGGGCTCATCTCCTGAGGCTTCCCCCATCCTCAACCTTTTTCTTTACCTGGGTCTTCTTCACGAATCTTCCGGTTTGGGGGGGGGCAGTGGGGGAGGCAGTGCACGCAGTCACACAAACACCACAGGCCCGAGCGTCCAACTCTGATCCTCCTCCCTATCGCCCTCAGATCCAGCCAGTCACTATGTCCTGCCAAGGTTTATTTCCTATCACTAGAATCAGCAACATTAAATCCAACGGCAAATTAAATCCAAAAAAAGTTAAAGGAAGTGAATAATAAAGAGCAGAAAACAATGAAATTAATATACACTTGAGATCAACAAAACCAAAATTATTCTTTGAAAAAACATAATAAAAGCGACCAACCTCTGACAAGATTTTCCAAGAGAGAAGACTGACAAATAAACACTATCTGGAATGAAAAAGGGGATCGCTTCTCAGCCTTTTGGCTAAGATCAAGTGTGGAATGAAAAAGGGGAACTAACTGAGGATTCAAACATATTTTTAAAAAAAAGACAAAAACAACCTAACAATAATCTAAAGTTGTAAATATATGCAAAGTTATAGGAAATCCATTCAAAACCAACTACAGAATTATCTGAAAACCAACAAGTTTTATAACCATTGAAGACATTCTGTGGGAAGTCCATCTCCCCACAAAGAAAACTTCAGATCTGGATGGATTTATCAAGAAGCCCTACCAAACATTCTAGAAGCAAGTGATTTCAAATGTCACAAAACTACCCCAGGGCCTGCAAAAGAGCAAACCCTCCCCAAATCATCTGATAAGGCCAACATAAGTTGGGCATTAAAGCCTAACCGAGGCTTCAAAACAAAGGAAAATAAAAAGGTTAGTATCTTTCAGAAACACAGCTGCAATGGTCTGGAGCAAAACATTAATTAAAACTTAGCAACACAGAAAGGATTCTACATGGTGACCAATTGGGTTTATCCCCTCAATGGTTTAAGATGTGAAAATCAATTGAATGTCATATGTCAATAATATCTCAATAAAGTCAGTGTGAGTCACCACATTAACAGAATACAGAAGAAAAAGCCTACAATCATCTTAATAGATTCAGAAACTATGATTGATTAAATTCAACAGTCACCCATACTAAATACTTGGGAGTTAAAGGAAACTTCCTTTATCTACTAAATGTTATCTACAAAAACATAATACTTAAGGAAGGAATATTGAAAGCAATCACTTTCAAATCCACATTGATCCAGTGCAACCTGAACCCAAGTGATTCCGATCAAAATCCCAACAGGCTGTGTGTGTCTGCACGTGATTTGACAAGATGATTCAAAAATTTACATGGAACACATAAAGGCAAAACAGCAAAGCCACCCATTCTGGGAAAAGATAAAGACAGGAGGACTCATCCTACCAGGTAGCGACTTATTTTAAAGCACAGTAATGAATAATGTATGAAAATATTATACACATGGACCAAATAAGACCAGCAGGACAAAACAGAGAACCCAGACACAGAAACGCACACAGATATGGACACATGACATGTTGGAGAAACAGAACACCGGATCAAAGCAAGCTTTTCAATAAAAGGTGCCAGAACAACGGATTACCCTTATGTGAAAAAAACAGAGAACTCAACCTTCACCTCACACTATGCACAGAAATCTTTTGGAGGAGTAAGGTTGTAAGAAAGAAAACACTATAAAACTTTGGGCGACAATACAGAACATTCTTTATGAGCCAAAGGCAGGGAAGGATTTCTTTAAACGATACGATAATAATAATAACAATAATAGATACAAAAAGTACAAACCATAAAGGAATATACCAATAAATTCGACTTTGTTAAAATGAAGAACCTCTGTTCACCCAAAATACTTGAGAGTGGGAGAGAGAGACAGAGGAGACAAGCTACAAACTGGAAAGCATCTGAAATACACTGAAGCCACAGAAGATTCATACTCAGAATATGTGACGAAGTCCTACAAATCAGTAAGGGGAAGACAACTGCGAAAGAAAAATAAGCAACAGAAATTTTCAAAGAGAATGCACAAATGATTAATATATTAAAAGCTGCTCAGTCTTGATGTCATCAGGCAAATGAGTATTCAAACCACAGTGACCAATGTCTTATTCATCACCAGATAGGCAAAAGTTCTGAAGAATGGCCTAGGCTAAAACTCATCCACTGCTGGTGGAGTGTAAACTTTTAGGAACCACCTGAGACAGTTCGCTATTACCGGCAAATTTGGGTATCCCCAGAAATCCACTATTCAGTATACAATTTAGAGAAACTTTTCTACATCTGTCCCAGAAAATATGTTTATAAACGCACCACGTGGTAGCAAAAATCTGGCAAGTATCCATGACAATCAGTTGAGGAATGCCTGAGTAAAGCATTTATAATCAAACCGTGGAATTTAAAAGAGCAAGGAAGCAATGAAGGTGATGTAGAGCTACTCACATCACCATGGATGCATCTCATATATGTAATTTTATGCAAAAATAAAGGCACATAAATATATATATGAGGATCCTATATAAAATTCAAAACCAAGCGAAATCATACATGGCAGTCGTTACAGATACACAGTAAAAACCACAAAGAAAAATAAGGGAACGAGGAACACAATACTCAGGGCAGTGGTCATCTTTGGTGAGGGGAAGAAAGGATTTAGCGGGGGCTTTCAGGATATGATAATGTTCTATTTCTTAACTTAATGGTGAGTATATGGGTGCTTTATTTTTATCCTTCAAACTTACATTGCAAACATTTTTATAGAAATGGTACCTACCTTGATTAGAAAAAGAGGAAATAATGTAAATATGTTACGTAACAGCCAAAATAAATGTTAGTAAGAAGGACCAACTATAGAACAGCATAGAAGGCCATAATTTGGGGGAAAGGAGAAGAAAATAGATACCGATAGGCCTGTTTATACACAGAAGGCAGTTGTCTGAAGAGGGACTGGGTAGCAGAGGTTAACCATGGTTAACTGCCTACCCAAATAATTAAAAAATGGAAATGTCTGTGCAATAAGCAGATCTCAACCGTCACCATTTGAGCCATGTGCGAGGCGTAAGTTGAGTGCTTTCCTGTGGTCTCAATCCATCCTCGCCTGAGGACAGAAGCATTACTGACCCCATTTTACAGATGAGGAAACAGAGACTGAAGGCACAAGGTGATGCACAGAATTAGTGATGGACACTGGGGTGGCAAAACAAATGCAGAGTTCAGGAACTGTAGCAACCCCTGCCCAGGTAAGCGAGATACAGGAGGCAACAATTCAATCACGATCCCTTGCCTGCAGGGATCCCTTACCTACAATTCTCAAATCTAAAAAAGGTCTTAAAACCCAATCTTTTAAGCTTGAAAACCTGATCTGACCTAAGATGAGGCTATTTCTGGCCGTTCTTTAGCTCCTTTGGTGTAAATATGCACATATTTAGCTGTGAAAACATTCATGTATTTGATTACAAGAAGCTGCCCCAGACCCCAATGAAGGTATGACATAACATCGAATGTATGCATCATATTCCTTTCGAAAATCCGAAAAATTGGGGATTCTGAGCATGCCTCGCCTCGGGGCTTTAAAATACGAGGCTGTGGACTTGTATAAAGTTAAGGATTCCTGCAACAAGACAGAGAGACAAGCACAGAGCGCGGCGAGTAACCGAGAGGAGGTCCGCGAAGGCCTTATTTTCCGTATTCGGTTCAGGGAGAATTCTGTATTTTGCTTTTGTCACCTAATATTAGGATCAAACCGACTTTTGCACCTATTACTACGGTTTAACAACGTCTGTGTGTCGGGGGCACTAGGTTCCAGCCTACTGGCCTTCCTGCCCCTCTCTGGGCCTGTTTCCTCATCAGGAAATGAGGAGCCCCAAGCCCCCGGCCCCCAGCGCCACACTCCGGCACAGACAGGGGCCGACCCCGGGGCCTGACCCCCACCTTCCGTCCTCCGTCGCCTCTCTGCACGGCCCTCTTCCATTCCCGGCAGCCTCGCGGCCCGGCGCCCAGATTACCCACCGCGGTACCCAGGCGCAGCCCCCACTGCCGGCGGCCAAGGCAGAAAGGCGGGCGTGGCTCCTCCTTCGGGGCGGGGCGAACGCGAGCTCGGCGCTCCCATTGGTGGATGTCGCCCACTAGTCCCTCCCTCCGGGTGACGCACTTCCTGCCCTCCGGTCCCCCCTCAGTTGCCGGAGCCCGTGGGGTAGGTGGGGAGTTACGCACTTCTCCTGCCGCTTTGCGTACCTTACGGGGCGGGGCTGCGGCTTGTCGTCGTCCACCGCAGTGGCACCCCGCGACCAAAGGGGTGGAAGGGCAGGCATGCAGCGGGACCCTCCCCCCCAGTAGCCGCGGCTCCGCGGACACAAGCCAGTGCCCTGTCCCGGGCCTCAGTTTCCCCATCTGTACAACCAACACTGTGGCCTCGGGGTCAGCGATGAGGGCTCTTGTTGTCATATAGCTCGAGGAGAATCCTGGCTCTGCCACTTACTAGTTGTCAGATCTTGGGTGAGTCATTGAGCTGCGCTGAGCCTCAGTTTCCTCTTCTGTTATATGGGAATGATAATAGTCCTCATGGAATAGTGTGGTCATGAGGTTTAAAAGAAAAAACGCACACTTGGAAGTGCTGATTAAATGTCAGCTACTGTCTTACCTAGGGATTGTTAGGAGAAGCAAATGAAGTTATTAATAGAAGTGAATGGACTGTTGGAGGACATCATTTGACAAACGCTTGCATCCCAGTGCCTGATCTGGGAGCTGGGGATGCAGTCTAGCAGGGAAACAGGTAGCTAATTCTAGTACAGCAGAAAGTGCAAGTATCTATATCTCTGTGATGATAGCTTCAAATCCCTACTTGCCCAGTTACATTCCTGTGATCTTGGACAACTTCTCAACCTCTCTAGACATCAGTTTCCAGGTAGGCTGAGTGAAAAATGCAGTAGTGTGTGGTAGTTAAGAGCTTGAGCTTGGGAGCTGGACCGTCTGGATTTGAATGCTGGTTCTTAAACTCAGTATGTCTGAGACCCAGGACAAAATACTGAAGCTCTCCACCTCAGTTTGCTCATCCATAAGGCAGGGATAATACTAGCACATTGTTGATAGGATTGCTGTGAGATCAAATGAGCTAATACATGCAAAGCTCTTAGAGTATCTGGCACATAGTAAGGCCTCAATAAGTGTGAGTTATCTTTACTAATAAAGTACTTTATAAAATGCCTTGGGGGCAGTCAAAGAGAAGAACAGCTCTAAGGAGACCATCTATGTTTTGTTTGTCCTGCATAGTTTTGTAAAATTTTGAATTCATTATCAATATTTAAAGCTGAGGCATTTCACATAAAACCCTAGGGTATCTGCAGCTCTTGAAATATGGGGCGGTCTGGCCATAATAGGCCAGCATTCCCCTATGGCAGCCCCTGTTTAAAGCTTGGTAGAGACTATGCTGCTTTGTGATGACATGTGTGCTTTCCGGGGGTGTAGAGAAATAAAAACAGGGGCCCATGAATGGAAAACACTGGGAACACTGACATTTCATGATCAAACGGCCAAGAAAGGAGGTAGAAAGAGAGATTCAAGACCAAGTGGTACCAGAGGCAAAGAGGTGGGAGAGACTATTGGGTGGTAGGCTGTGGTCTGAATTGTCAGTGCTCTGGAGAGGTCAAGAAAAACGCTCACTGATTTAGAATGTGATGGCCATTAAGAGCCCATAGAGAGGAGGAAGCTACATCTGCCTCAAAGAGAAGTGAATGCATGGAAGCTGAGGGAATGGAGAGGGGATGCTGACTACTTCTAGGAAGGGTGTTTTGGGAAGGGGAGACATGAAGACAGGAGCAGAGGGAATAATCAATAAAGACAGGAGAGAACGGGGTCAAGGGCATACAGAGACAGGATTACTCTTACCCTAGAAAGGAAGAAAGACATTTCTGAAACAGGAGGAAAAGAGGTAGAAATGGATGGATAAAGGTTCACCTCTGATGTTTTCTGCTTTCTCCATAAAGTAGCAAACTCTGCTTCTGCTAAGCAAAGGAGCTGGGAGATGCTTGGGGATTTGAGGAGAATCAAAGGTTTGGAACAGATGCCAAAGGGAATGCAAAAGTGAGGTTCCAGCTAAGGTTGAAACCATAAATGTGCAGAGAGGATAGTCACTCCTGATCCCCGGGCAATCTCCCATCCCCATACCAGGGGCCTCAGAGCAGAAGCTCTGTGTGGACTCATACTGGGGTGGGTCTTAGCTAAACAAATGCAGCTGACCCTAGAAGTCAAAGCAACTGGAGAGTGTTGGTGGGAGGGTCTTTGAAGTCATCCACTGCAGTATGGGCAGGTAGACATAGGAGGAAGGGAGAGTGCTGAGAAGTTAGCATGGAGGGGGACAGCAACCAGAGGTCCCAGTGAGGTGGATTACCAGGTGACTGTCTTGCCTCGGCATGCCTCCACCCTCAGAAGACAGCCCACTCTCTAGTTGGCTCAGTGAGTATTTATGAGGACCTTCAGTGTGCCAGACATTGAGCGGTTTGCTACAGGACAACTCTGCTGCCAGTTCAAATATTCTTCTGAAAGTTGACCGTGAAAGGTACAGAAGCTCCGTGGACATAAATTCTCAGCCACCTGCCTAGAGAGGAAGCTTGGGGGCCAAATCATAGGCTAAGGAGGTCAGTCTTTTTACCTGAAGACCATAGAAGCTATTGGGGAGGAAGTGATGAGATCAGGTTTGTGTTTTAGAAAAAGAAAATCAACACACCTGTTCTTTTCAAACATACTTGGAACATTTACAGAAATTGACTGTGTACTGGCCACAAAGGAAGTCTCAATAAATTCCAAAGAATCTGTAGACCACATTCACGAACCACGGTGAAGTAAAATGAAGAATCAACAAAAACACAACCAGAAAGAAACCCAAACCACTTCTAGACCTTAAACTAGTAACTGAAAATGCTTCTGAGGAGAGGGTCCTGAAGACAGGATGATCTATTTTTTATCACGTACTACTATTACTTATGAAAAAATTAAACATGATAAGCATACATTTGAATTTTATTTCTTAAGCCAGGAGTTCATTTATATTAGTTTTTATACCTGAGTGTATGTTGAAAGATTTTATAACATTTTTAAGAGAAAAAGAACATACATTTGGAAACTGAAAAATACATACATGTTAAAAAGAAAACCAATATGGAAATTACAAAATATTTAGAAATGAATGACCAAAAAAACCCCAAATATAATGAAACATGTGGGATCCAACTAAAAACAATAATTAGAGGGGGATTTATAGCCTTAAGTGTACTTAATACAAAACAAGAAAAAAATTTAAGTGTTCAATGTAAGAGGTAGATAAATAAATAACCCAGAGAAAACAGAAAGAAGGAAATAATAAAGCAAAAGGCAGATGTGAGTAAAACAAAAAAGAAAATTAAATTGATTGTGGAAACCAGAAACTGGTGTTCTATTAAAGACTAATACAACAGACAAGCTTCTTGTAAGAGTTATCGAAGCAATATTATAAATGGCTAAAGAGAGTGTAAAAATTTAGAAAGCATGAGTATACTATGAACAACTTTATGCCAACACATTTGAAAATCTAGATAAAAGAGGCAATCTTTGACAAAAATACAAATTACAAAACTTTGCCCTAGAAGAGAAGTAGACCAATAATCATCATTGAACTTGAAAAGGCAATGGATCTGTTCCAACTCGTAAAATGCCCAGGCTGAGATAGTTTTACTAGAGTGATACACATACACACAAATGCAAAAAACAAACAAACAAACAAACAAACTATATTATGCAAACTGCACCAGAATATGGACAAGATGGAGAAATCTATCCAAACATTCTGTGAGGCTAGTCTAATCTTGATACCAAAACAAGAACAGCAGAATTAAAGAAAATGTCAGGTCCATGTATATTATAATCATGGATGCAAAAATTGAGTCTCTTAGTATCTCAAAAGACAGTCTCTTTATGATGAGTGATGTTGAGCATCTTTTCGTGTATCTGTTGGCCATCTGGAAGTCTTCTTTAGAAAAATGTCTATTCAGGTCCTCTGCCCCTTTTTAATTGGATTTTGGATTATTTGTCTTGTTTGGTGTTGAATTGTATAAGTTCGTCATATATTTTGGATACTAATCAGGGAGATGCAAATCAAAACCACTGGGTATCACCTTACACCTGTCAGTATGGCTAAAATTAAAAAGACAAGAAATAACAAGTGTTGGCGAGGATGTGGAGAAAAAGGAACCCTTGTGCGCTGTTGGTGGGAATGCAAACTGGTGCAACCACTATGGAAAACAGTGTGGAGATTCCTCAAAAAAATTAAAAATAGAAATAGCATATGATCCAATAATTCCATTACTGGGTATTTACCCAAAGAAAACAAAAGCACTAATTCAAAAAGATATATGCATCCCTATGTTTATTGCAATATTATTTGCAATAGCCAAGATATGGAAGCAATCTAAACATTTATCAATAGACAAATGGATAAAGAAGCCATAATGTATATGTATATATGAATATGAATATTATGCAGCCATAAAAAAAGATGAGCTCTTGCCATTTGCAACAACGTGGGTAGACCTAGAGACTATTATGCTAAGTGAAATAAGTCTGACTGAGAAAGACAAATACCGTATGATCTCACTCATATGTGGAGTCTAAAAAAACAAAACAAATGAATAAATGAACAAAACGAAAAGCAGAATCAGACCTATAAATATAGAGAACAAACTGATGGTTGCCAGAGGAAAAGGGGACGGGCAAAATATGTGAAGGGAAGTGGGAGACACAGGCTTCCAGTTATGGAATGAATAAGTCACGGGAATAAAAGGCACAGCATAGAGAATATAAAGAACGCTGCATAGTGACCAATGGTAGCCACACTTGTGAGCACAAGGTAACATACAGAGATGTCAAATCACAATGTTCTACACCTGAAACTAATGTAACATTGTGTGTCAACAATACTCCAATTTTTTTTAAAAAATAGACTGTCTATTCCAGAAGAGGAAATTCGAATGGCTAAAAAAAAGTGTGGAAAGATGCCCAACCTTACTATTAGTTGGAAATACAAACAACAAAAAGATGCCAATTTTC